CAAAGCTCTATTGCGAAAAGAACGTCTGGGGGGTCGAAATGTTGCTGGCCAGCTTCCGCATTTGGCTACCGCCAGCAACTACATAGTTTACACAGACGTTGACCCAAACACACAGGCGTTGACACGTGTGTTCATGTCGCATCCACGAGCAGCCAGTCTATTCCGGACATATTATTGGTATGTCGGTATAGATTCCACGTACAAAACGAACAGGTATGTTACATTACTTAATTAATCTCTATAAATATTAAAAAAATTTAGTATTTACCTGAAACAATAATAGTAATAGAAATCCCGTAAAAAAATTCGTTCTTACTTTTATAAGTATATTTATTAAAAAAATTGTAACACTGGCGGAATATTTGAAAAACTGAATATATTAGTTGTCAGAAATTCTTATAAACTTTGTTTTGTGCGGCGATAATTTTTTTTTTATTTTTAAAAAAGTGAATATATGTTTGAGTAAGTTTTTTTGATCCTATGTTTTTTACTTTTGTTGATTTCATTTGTACAGGAACAACATGCCATTGGTTGAGATGATTGGAATGACACCGTGCAACAAAAACTTCTTGATTGCTTATGCAATTGTGAATAACGAGACCGAGTATAGCTATGACTGGGTCCTACAGCGTTTGAGAATGATGTTAGAGTCTGATAAACAACCTTCAGTCATTGTGAGTGATAAGGAGTCGGGGTTGATTACTCCTATTCAGAGGAATTTCCCAACGACGTCCCACTTACTCTGCACGTGGCACATCAACAAGGATGTGGAAGACAATGTGTATTGACTAACGTCAAAAAATAAGATCTTCGCGCAAAACTTCACGCACGGCAAGTGGAAGAAGGTTGTCGAGGCGAACACGTGGCAGAAATACAAAGATGCCGTAGAAGATATGATTGTTACATACGCGAAGTTTCCTCATGTGTTGGATTATGTGGATAAGACGTGGCTAGCGCACAAGGAGAAGTTTGTCAAAGTGTGGACGGACACTGTCTTACATTTTGGCAACACAACGACGTGTAGGGTGGAGAGTTCCCACGCTACGTTGAAGAGGTGGCTTGAAACGTCGACTGGTTCGCTCGACACGATTTGGGAGAAGATTGACAAGGAGATTGAGTCTCAACTGACTAAAGTCAGGTATACTCTTCAAATTAAATATATAATATATATATATATATATACATATTTATATAAATTAAATATATAATATATATATATATATACATATTTATATAAATTAAATATAATATATATATATATATGTTTACTATATATATATTTATTTAAGAAAAATATTAAGAAAAAATATATATATTCTTATATATTAATAATAAAAACATATTAAGAAATAAATATATAAATATTATGTATATATTAATTATTAACATATATTAATAATTAAGTTATGTATTAATAGGGAGACATTGGAGTCTTCGAGACTCAG